AGCCCGGCGTGTGCGGCCCGGGACGTCGCGGCCAGCTCCGAAGGCCGGGGGCGAAGGCCCGGTCTCGTCGGACTCGCCGGGAGCTTTTCGTCGTCTGTCTGCAGCTAGTGTGCCCGAAAACCGTGCGCGTCTGCCCCTAACAGTCTCCACTCTGCTGCTCGTGTTAGCCTAGACAGCTGTCCTCGAGGTTGGAGGGGTGTGGATCCTGTTAAAGACGTGTGCAGGCACGGACGCAGACCCGAGATGTGACCACTGGAACTTTTCATTCGCTCAGAAAGGCCCTTGGTAGTCTCATAAGACGTGAGCGTACTGTTTTGTCTTTAATAAGACAGGTGAAAACTACATTAAAGGTTCCGCCCCTTAGGAAGGCACTTAAAAAGCATGAATAAAAAGTTAACCAAAGGAGACAACAGCCCAAAAAGCAGCTCACTAATAGACAGTAGATGTTTTCTGAACGAATTAAAATTGAATGAGGGTAGAAATGTCTGTAACTTATCTGTGATGTTTTTCTGGTTACCACTCGTTTACTTAGATGTTCAACATAATTAATAGACTGGGAAAAATCATAGTGCTTTAGAGATCAGGTGGAAATATTTGTTTCTTTTAATAGTAAGATCGTTATGTAAGGATTTGAGACCTGGGAGAAGGATCCTGTTTCAATATTTTTGTTTATATAAAGACACTGGGGCCCAGAGAGAGAGAAATCATTGCCGATGACAGATCTAAACTTTATACTCTAGCTTTTATTCTTTGATACTTCTGTTGGTGTTAATAATATGCTCTTTTTTAAAATGTAAGATTAAGTGAGGATTTTCCTTTTCATTTTTGGCCTTCTAGGCTCCTGGAGGAATTGCTACACCTCCAGTGTATGGTCAGCTTCTAGCTTTATATCTGCTCCATAATGACATGTAAGTACCTTTTATCTAAAGCTGTGAACAGCGATTTCTTCAGGGTCATACAGAAATTATTTGTGCATTGAAGTACCATGAAAACAGGCACAAGGAGCTGTATCTTTTATTATAATACTTAAAAGTCCTGTACTGTATATTTATTGAATCATAACGAATTGTGATTAAGCTGAGTTGTTTTAAAATACACTTGTTTTACCTTCTAAAAAACACTCCAATTTGTTATGGGAAGCTACAGTGTCAGCGAATGTGTTTAATTTTCTTTTCGGCCTTTATAAACCTTTCTTATGACCTTCATGTCCTTAACTTCATGTGTAATTAATAGACCAAGAGAAACGGAAATGGAAGATTGAGAAAGCTAAGAGAAATTCATTACCAACGTGTATGAGATTTCTTGAAAGTTTCTTGTTTTTTAATTACTCCTGGTTCATGTTTATTGAGGAGAAGCTAGAAAGCATAACTGCAAAGGAACAGGTGACCCCTAGAGCTACGACCCACCGACGGTCACTGTTACATTTTGTTCAAAATTCTGCAAAACCTTTTTTCATATCTTCTAAAAACCTAAACCAAGATTTTTATTACACACATGTAAATTGTTTTATTTATTGTAATCCCGTCGTTCAAAGTTTGTTGTGGTTCAACCTTCTAAACTCTTAAAAATTCTTAACGTTTTGGTGGCTCTGTACCCACTAGTGGGAGGAAGGGTCCAATAAGAAGAAACGCACTGTGCTCTGTGCATGTCGTCAGGGAGCACCAGAGCCCTGGACATCCATCAGTTTGTTTCTTTTTACGTAAAAGTTGCTTGGGTAGTTCTATTTAAGTCTTTATTGTCTTATTTAAGATCTGGACCGTTCATAAAAAATTTGCTATAAATGGCAAAATGGTATTTTGGCAAAAATACTTCATGTTTCTTGACCTAAAAACTACTCTTACTTCCTCTGGAGAAATATATGTAAAACTGAATTTCATTCTATATTACATAGAGTATTTTAAAATATACTTCTGTGTGTTTGTATTGGGATCTAGATTTTCAACATTTACTGAGATGATTTTTTTTAATTGCTTATTCTTTCTTGGTGGGTGTAAATTAGGAATAATGCAAGATATCTTTGGAAAAGAATACCACCTGCTATAAAATCTGTAAGTATTCTTTTAATGTTTTACTACTTTACTATAGTAATGACATTCATTTAAAGGGCCGCCTTGTGAAAGTTTGTTTGCTTTCCCTTGTAGTTCACAGAAATTATTAAACTGGTATTAAAGTTTAAAACTCAATCTTCAAATTCTTCTAATCAACTTTTAATTTCCCTTTAACTGTGTAGAAATCTGTGTTCAGCTCCTACCCATCAGCTTTCTTGATATAGTTCATATGTGTCACTTAACAGGTAAACAACTTAACAGGTAAACAGCCAGTTTAGATAAAGGTTTGGGTTTTGTTGTTGTTGTTTTAACGCATTTATGCAGTTCTCTATAACGGTACTTATTTTGAACCTGGTACTACTTATAAGAATATTCTAAAAATGATAATTACTTACAGTGTTAAGATTATTTTTGCTAATTAGGATTTTAGGTTTTTTATTTGTGGTCGGAGAGCAGATGAAATAACCTCTTAAAAGTTTCTTCCAAAGTGGAATCGAGTAAGTTTTTATTTTCAAGTGATTCACTATGTCTAGAATAAATATGAAATGAATTTTTGAACATTCACAGAATATTACCGGGAAATTCATCTAAATATTTTTGTTCATCATTGATATTAAGCAGCAGATCATGTTAGTATTTTTGCTCCCTCTTCTTTTCCTTGTCATTCTATTAATGTTTTTCTTGCTTCATTGGCTTAAACAAAGAGCAACTGTGAGTTCTATGCATAGTGTCCATGGTACTAGTGGGGACTTCTTTGTTAGGCCACTGCGTGTGACATCATAGATCAAGTCTGTATTGTTAGCTGTTTGCTATTACGTTTGTCCTAAAAAGTTTACATATGTATCGACATTATGTATTCTGTGTATTATATATATATTAATGAAATATTAAAACATGCTTTAAAGAACATTTAAGATAATTCTCAGACTTAATTCCGAAATATGTGGGACTACATTCTCATGCCTTAATTTACTATTATAATAAAAATTTTAACATATAGACTTTACTGTTTACAGCACTTAAAAACCTTTTTGATAGTGATTGAGCTGCAAAGTAATTAAGCCTCTTAAATGCTGAATTATGTTTTAAGGTACAGTTGTTGGTAAGTCTGCAGAGTGTACATCCTCAAAGGCAATAACGTTTATTGCAGGCAAATTCCGAACTTGGAGGGATTTGGTCAGTAGGACAGCGGATCTGGCAGAGAGATTTCCCTGGGATCTACACGACCATCGGCGCTCACCAGTGGTCTGAGACGGTCCAGCCAATCATGGACGCGCTTAGAGGTAGTTCGTTTGTGGTTAAGACTTAAGTCAGACTAGACCTATGCCCTGAGTGCTGAAACGCTGACCTAAGTCAGCGGTGTTTTTTAAAAACACATTTTCTGCGAAGCGAATGGGGGCAGTTTTCAGAATTCTCTTTTAGAATTGTTATAATCATGCCTTTTCATTTTACGTTGCTTGCGATCCCATTGACAGTTCAGGGCCTCCCTATCTCTTAAATTAATTCTAGATTGAAATTGCTTTTGACAGTTGAAGAGTTTTTTGAGAGTTTGTTTTCTACTGAAGTGAAATCTCATAATACTGTAATAAGTTCAGGGTAAGTAAGATGTTTAAAACAGTGCATATTTGGAAGTTGGAGACAACGCCTACCAAAGCCTGAGATCTTTGTTGATCTTTGTTGATCTCAGGCTTTGGTAGGCGTTGTCTCCAACTTCTGGACTTGTAACTCATCAGTACAAAGGTGCTCAGGTGTTCACTTAAATTGCTTTGAAAGATGACAAGCCTGGTACGATGGCACTGATCCCTCAGTGAAGCCCGCCTCTTCCTCTGTCTGTCTGTCTGTGCCCCCAGCATTTGCTGCCAGCCTTCCCGCTTCGCTCTGGTCATGCGCACAGTGGTGTCTGTTTACGCCGCATTTCTTATCCTTACCTCGTTACCTCGTTTCTGTAGCTAGCGTCCGCCTTCCTGCTTCGGAGGAGGCAGGGAGCAGGAGTTGTTGGATGACCGCTCATCACTCTGGTAAGGCGTGTCATTGTCACCGGGAGCAGGCGTGAGCGGAGCCTGCTCTCCAGGTATAATTCCCGGGATGGTAAAACAGAACAACCTAAGTGACGAAACAGAAGGCACTGGAAACGTGAAGGACGTGCACAGGAGAGCAGGGCAGTGGCGGGCGGGCAGGGAGCACGTGGAGCGAGGCAGCCCCGGCCCAGCATGTGCGGGGAGCAGCCCCAAGCCTGCCCAAGCCTGCAGGGCCTGGCCGGGTCTCATGACCGCACGGCACTGCGCGGCAGTCACTGGCAAGACTAGGGCGCGGGTCTTTTGGCCGTCGGGACACGTGCCCGGGCGCCTTCAGTGGGGACAGTCGTCCTTCCCTGTGCCAGCTTGGAGAGCGGTCCAGTGGCCCCGGAAGCTGTGCGAGATCGTGGCAGGTTGGACTCTGGAGCCAGACTTCCAGAGTTCAGTTCCTGGCTGTGTCACTCGCTGACCCCTCTGCGCTGCATGGTCCCCGTCGGTGACATGGGGTTAGAGGTAGTGCTGTCTTCGGCTTGGTTCACATGGCGTAACACGCCCTCTGCTCGCCTGCAGCATTCACGAGTAAATGTGGAGAATTCTACACGCCCAGGCTCTTGAATGGCGCTACTTTTCCTCCGTGACCTGCGGCCCGGGGAGGGTCATCTCATGTGGGTCTGAGTCACTGCTGAATCCGGCATTTTAATGTCGCACAGAGCCGTCTTTTCCAGCTCAGAACAGCCACTTTCTTAGATCTCTCCCGCTCTGTTCTGAGTGAGTCACTGTCCTACCAGGACAGTGACCGAGGAGCGGCAGAGCTGTTCTCAGAGGAAAACATCCAGGGACTAGCTGTAGACAGTAGCTGATGACACCCTGGACCAGAGGGATAGGCGAGGGGCTGGCGTGACTGGAGCTGTGAAAATAGGGCCGCCCCATGGGGTCTCTGCATGCAGGGGCTCAATGGGGTGGGGAAGGGACAGTGGACCTTTCCCCCTGACCTACAGGACCTCCAAGCTGGGGAGTCCAGTACCGCAGGCCTTGGGGGCCAGCCCCTCAGCATAGAGCGCAGTGCGAGGGGCGGAGGCGGGTTGGGCGGGGTGGGGCGACCAGCTCATCCTCCCTCCCACCTTCAGCACGGGGAGCTTTAAGTGTTTGTCGAATGACTGGCTGAGCGTTCCCTTAGGGTCCCCCTTTCACCAAGCCTTTGTCCCATGACAGACTGCCACAGATAGCAGGCGCTGGCTTAGTTTCCGCCACCTTCCAGCATGTCACCGTAATGCATGTCCTCGTGAGGTAACAGTTCACAGACCTCAAAGGCCACTAGTTAGAATGTGGGTGTTGGATTCGTTTGTGCTGGGCGGTCAGACGCCCCCGGGGCGTTTCGGCCTCTCACGGACGTCCTGGGGCCTGCGCGCTCCGCATGTCCGCGTCCCGCTTGCCCTCCGTCCCCCTCTCCTGCTGCTGTCGCCCACAGTCTGCTCCTGTGCTTCCCCGTCTGTCTCCTCTCGCTCCTGAAACTGACGGGCATCGCGGCGGGCTCCCCACTTTCCTTCTTCAGCCTTGCGCTCGGTTCTCTTCTGTCGAACGCCCCCAGCAGAAAGAGTTCCCCTTCCTCCAGGACGTTTTAAGAGCCTGATTTAAGGTCGCTTGCCGAGAGGCCGGCAGTGAGCGGGAACGGGCTGTGACCGTGAGGGAGGCGGCGCGCGTCGTGGCTCAGCGAGGGGGAGGCGGCGAGGTCAGATGGCAGCCAGGCTTGGGCAGGAGAGGACAGAGGCGGGTCGCACCCAGCTGGGTCCTGGCGACATCAGCACACACCTGGCCAGAGGTGCCAGACCCCTTGGGATGTAAAATGTGAAAGACCAGCCCCCTGCGGAGGTCCTGGCGGTGGCGGTGGGCAATGGGTGCCACAGGCGGCAGAGGCCACTCGCGGGGTAGGCCCGGCGGCCCCGCGTGTCGTCTGGGGACGGGGCTCCGTTGCTGCCGCTGTTCGCAGCCCCTTCCTGTTAGGTTCAGCCGTTCGGGCTTGACCTTGGGGCTTGAACCTGAATGAAGTCAAGAGCACAAAGCAGGCTGGAAAGTTAGGAGGAGGGCTCTAGTTACGGGGTGCGCTGCAGCTCCCGGGGGCTCCTGTGTCGGGGACCCTCCTGAGAGGTCAGCCGATGACACAGGTGGGTTTTTTCTGCTCCATTCACACCAGCGTTTGTTAGTAGAATAAAAACAATTTAAAAACCTCCATTACAAACGCATAAATGTATTTAGTGAAACGTTCTTAGGGGTTAATGTTAACTCTTTCTATCTCCGTGGTTTTCATCGTCATCTGAGAAAGGCGATTCGTCTAAGAGGAAGTATAAGCAACGTATTTGTTCCAACGTTTGAGCGCCTCTTGCGAGCCAGACACGCATCTGCAAGCGCAGAACTCTGCGGCTGGATCTAACCTTGCTTATACCATTTGAACAAGGGCAGTAATGTAATTTAATCATGCGTTTTCAAACATCAGCTCTTTTGGTCACTGTCCGCCCACCCCCCACTCCCACGCAGACGCAACGCGGAGACGCGCCTTCACCCTGGTCTCGCAGGCGTACACCTCCATCGTCGCCGAGGACTTCGCCGCCTTCGTTGGGCTCCCTGTGGAGGAGGCCGTGAAAGGTACGCGGCCGACCCGGTCCTGTCGGGGAAGTGGAGGTGTGAGTTACAGGTCCCCAGTCCCTTACCAGAAGCCCTTGGAACACGGTATGGTTTTGGAATTTCCGTCTTGTGTGTTCTTTAGAAAGGTGACATAACACACAGGGGGCGCAGCACTCAGCAGGCACCCTGTCACCCAGCACGGGGCGGCCGTCTGTAGGGTCTTGTGAGGACAGATTATATTATAAATCGACTTAACGGGTTTACAGCAGGTTTTGCCACCAGCTTCATTAAAGAAAAAGTGTGGTCTGTAGAGCTTTGGGACTTCTGAATGCGCATGAGAGATTTGGGGTTCCTCTGTGCACGTGTGGCCGTGTGTGCACGCACGCACACACACAGGCTGCCCACTCCACAGACAGCTCTCAGCAGGACGTCCAAGCAGCGATCAGCAGCCCTGACACGCACACCGGGAGGTCGATCAGACTCCAGGGTGGAGGGCGCGGTTCCCCAGGGCCAGCCTCCGCTTCAGACGCCAGCCTCAGGTCCAGGCTGTTCCCGCGCTTCTGACCAGCTGGCTGTAAGTCAGGTTCCCTGACCCCTCCTCGGGTTCGACTGATGAGCCAAGCAGAATGGCTCACAGGTCTCAAGGAAAGCTACTCAGTTCTCGGTCGCTGGTTTGTTGTAAAGGATGTTAAAAGGAAGAGAGACACGGGACGAGGTCCCATGTGGAGAGCGCCTGTCCTGGAGTGTGGGGCCGGCACGGTGGCCTGCCAGCCGCCCTTCCGGGTTCTCACGGGGCCTTCACTGGGTGGCCTTGACTGACTCAGTCCTTGGCCATTGGACACAGACTCAGCCTCCAGTCCCTGGCCCTCCCCGGAAATCAGGGTGGGCATGAAAGTTCCCGTCTAACCACGGGCTCCTGTCGGCAGGCAGCCCGCACCCTCAGGTGGGGCTCGGAAGTTGCCTCATTCACATGCTAAGAGGCACCATTCTCAGGAAACTCCGGGGGCTTGGGGCTGGGGACCAGGCTGGATGGAGACATATACCTGAGAAATACATTTCCTGGAGCGACCCCATCTACATGTATTTGTCTAAACCCCCACACCACGGGAGCCTTATTTGCTTTCAAAGCACGTTTTGCAGAAGACGCACCAATTAAAGATACTTCAGAGCTTCGCAGAGGAATGCTCTGCCAGTTTTATGAACTTAAAATTTAGCTGTCTCTGAGAGGCACCCCGCTGGTTATTCTGGTCTCCCTCACCGGGACCTCTGTAGTGCTTCTGGGGTCTCGGCGTGGCCCCGTGGCATGGCCCCTGACCATTTTTGACTTTTATGTCTCAGACCTTCAATCCAGATCTGAACCATGTTAAATGTGGGGAGCCCTCCGAGGCGATGCCGAGAGAGGACCAATCGGAGCGGCCGATGAGCAGTAGTGGGGAGAGGAGGAAGGCAGGGAGGCCAGCGGGGTTCGGGGAAAAGGGCAGGGAAGGAGGGACAGCGCAGCGTTTGACAGCTGGCCGCGCCGGGCCCAGGTTAGCCTGGCTCTCATGCGTGGTGGGGCGTGCGAGTCCAGGAGGTCAAGGGCACGCAGGAGCGCCAGGCGGCCGCGTGCTCATCATTCTGAGCGCGCACTCTGCAGCTGCTTTAGATCATTTTGTTCCCCTCTGAAAATGAACGTGTTGATAAATGTCGTTTTACTTTTTTAAAGAAAGCCCCAGGCGGTCTCAGCGCTCACAGGTAGACATCCTCTCTCACTCTTACTTGGCAAAGGTGCACTCATCCCAGTCTCCCTCTCCAGCCCGTCTCTTCCTCGCGGCGGCTTCGCCCACCCTTGCACCCCACTCTCCCCACCGGCACCTTTGCATGTCCGTTTCCCAGGAGATGCGCAGACGGAGCCCTCCCCTTGGGGTAGCGCAGGCACCTGCTGCACTGGGTGGCGGCGGGAGACGCGCTGTCATCTCCGGCCGGAATAGGCGCCCCAGCCAGCACCACACCTGAGTCTGGCTTCCAAGGCCTGGCTCGATTCTGGACTCACAGAAGGCAGGCTCATGACAGTTGTTGGGGTAGATGATACTGTTACTCACACAAACATCTCTTTATTGTGACTCTTCTCTTGAAATTGATCTGTAATTTGTTACCTAATAAATAATAGAACCCAGAGCCCATGCTGGGTTGAATTTGGTCCCAACCCCATGCTAGCCATGACCTAAAACAAGTCACTGGATTCCTTAAGCTTCATTTTCTACATCTGTTGCATTATGGTTGTGTGTCCCACTTAGAGTTGTTACAGTGGTTACATAAATGATCCTATGAAAGCAGCTAGCACGTCCCCCGCTGGGCAGCCTTCTGGACATGTGAGCTGCTGTTTCATCGTTGCCATCATCTCTGCCGTTACTGCTATGATGACGGCAGAAATGTCAGCTTTCTTTATGTCTGTTTTTAATGATATTAGTCACGTTAATACCATGTGACATACTTTATAGAAAACTAGTCATTTTGCTAGTGATTACACCAGTGAGATAGAGTAAAATAAAACTTCGATATGTTTCAGAACTGTTCAAAAATTACTTACGTTAGAATGCTGTAGTATAACTTTCTAGTAAAACCGCATGACAGGTCTCCCTGGCACGTACAAGTAGTATCACTGACAGTGAGTGAAAATTGTGGGGTTTTGCTTATTTCTTCATTTGTGTGTTAAATACACGTTTCTAGGCATATTAGAACAAGGATGGCAAGCCGACTCTACCACAAGAATGGTCACGCCCAAAAAGCCAGGTAAGTGGGGCCCTTCGCCGGCTCGTGCAGCCTCGGACCCCCGGGGGGCTGGCCGCCTCGGCTTCTCAGACGCTGAGAGTGAGCGATTTGATGAAACATCTGCCGTGCTGACAGAATGAAGGTGACTCCTATGTCACACACAGGCCTAGGACGACGGACAGAGTAGAAAGGGTCATGAAGCTCACTTAGTTTTACTTTAATTTTTTTAACGTATTTCTTTTACAACAACTTTTACGTGGATGTTTTATAATTCTTATTACAACTTAATTTTTACTAAATATTAATTTTCTGTTCTTTTATTTATAGAACCATTTGTAAATGTGCTCATTTTTAATACCGAAACTATTGCCTTAAAAAATTTTTTGGTGCCCAGCTACGTCCTGTATTCCTTGTGCTGTAGACATGGGGCCTCTTCGCAGCAGGACTTGCCAGTGGCCTCAGCCGTCACAGTTACCTGGCCTGCCTTTGACAGCTTTAAACAGTGCGACGGTCTTTGTCGTCTCAGTCGGAGCTCACGGCCCCTCAGTCTTCTCTGAAGTGAGGCCTGCCCGGCGCTGGCTCCTGCCTGCCCGGAGTGTCCTCCGCCCGGTGTCGGAGCCATGTGCCCACACCCACAAGCCCCTCTCACCCACCTCGGCCACACGTCCTTCCCCCTACTCTGCATTCCCATTGTTTAGACCAGGGTCCCCAACTCCTGGGCCGTGGACCGGTACCAGTCGGAGGCCTGTTAGGACCTGGGCCACACAGCAGGAGGTGAGCGGCAGGTGAGCGAGCGAAGCTCCATCTGTATCTGCAGCCGCTCCCAGCGCCGGCATCACCGCCTTAGCTCCGCCTCAGATGCTCAGGCCTTAGATTCTCATGGGGCACCAGTCCCCAGCGCCACAAAGGCTGGGGACGGCAGATTTAGACGTTGATGCCACGGAGAGCTGTTACACAGATCTCAACGTCTTCAGCCCCATGAGGGTGGAAATGAGTGGGGGGACGTGGTCCCAGCCAATCTGGGTGAAAAGGGACCAAACAAAGACTCGATAAAATGGAGCATAACCGCTGTCTCTGTTGAGAAGGGGCCGTGAGCGCATGTCGGGGTAAGACACGTTCTGCTTGAGAATCTCTGTCGTTAACGACCTCTGTTGATGGGCTGTGCATTGTGTGTTCAGTCGCAGGCGCCCTGGATGTCCCCTTTCACGGGTTCGCTCCTTTATCAGGTGGGTGCCTCCGCGTGCTCCTCTGCGTGTCCCGTTCTTAATCTTCGCTTTGCAGTTAGTGTCGATTTCTCTTAGCTCTAACCTCGCAGAGCTTGGTTCTTCACCGGGCTCTTACAGTAGTTCACCTTACAGTAGTTTCAAGGGTGGACACGCGGGCCTGCGCCTGCTGTGAGCACCGTGCCTCGGTGCTCGCCGGCACTTGGTCCCCAGAAGGCAGCGCCAGGCCCGCACGTGGCAACGTGAATGCAGGACTGAGCTCGACAGTGGGTGCCTGGTTTTTGTTCGTGGACTGGTGTGGTGGCGTAGAGGTGCGTGTCACTTGGCAAGCACGCACCGTCATTCACAGGGTGAAAGTCGCACGGGCGGGGGTCTCGGCAAGAAAGCCTGGACGCTCTGGAAAGAAGTCGACCCCAGTCGCAGTGAAGCCGGGCATGGCTTCCTCCCAGCCTGGGAGACTGAAAGCAGAGGCAGCTCGGCTGGCTTCTCAGAAAGGTCCCGGTCAGGGCAGGCCTGGGGAGGGGTCCCTGCAGGTAAACCAGAGCCATCGGAGGGCGCGGGTGTGACCCAGCCGTGCTGCCGGCCACTGACTTCAGTGTCTCTCTGACGTGCAGAGCCAGCCCCGGTCCCGCCCATCCCCAACGAGCAGCAGCTCGCCAGACTCACCGACTACGTGGCTTTCCTCGAAAACTGACCGGTCCCGCCTCCCGGACCCACCCCGGAGCGCTGTGTCCTGAACTGATCCAGAAATGCTAAATTTTTATTTTCAGCTTATTGGATGGATTCAGCGCCTCAGCCTTCCTTCCTGAGTGTGCGATGGTAAAACACACATATACTGTAAAGCGCATCATGTGTATTTTGTCCTTAAGCGCCCCGCTGACTAGTTGAAGCAGGCCCGGTTTCATCACGCCACAGTGCGGGTGGGCCCGCCGGTGTCACGCAGCCCGTGTGTGTCCCAGCGGCTCGTGACTGAGCTCCCCTGCGTCCTGTAGCCAGGTGCCCGTCACCTGTGTTTCCCGGTCACGCACAGCACACCGTTCCTGCTGCTGGCCGTAGGGGCGCGCCCGGGGAGGAAGGCTGTGCCCGGCGGGACCTGCACTGTGGGGCGCTCCCATCCGCCCCCTCGGGAGAATGCGCACTCTGCTCCTCGCCCCGGAGTTGCCACTGCAGAGACGCAGCCGGGGACCCGAATGGTCTCAGGAGACCAGGCTGTTTTCCCTGGCTTCGCTGATGGTGTGAGCGCGCCCGTGGCCGCAGTGGAGGGCTTGCCGTGGAAGTGAGCCTCATTAAGACGTTCGCGAGATGCGTCACGCTGTCACACGGCCCTTCAGGAGAGGGGAGCCCTGCACAGGGATGCGTCATCCTGGGACAGAAGCCGTGAAGATGACGAGCAACTTTGTCCAGCTGCCCTGCAGCTCCCGGTTGCTCACGTTTGACCCTCGGTTCAAGCTCTGCCTTTTGGAGAAATGCGGAACGAGCCCCTCCTTTTCCCGTGTGACGCCCTCTGAGTGTTTGAAGCTGTTTATTGTGTCTTCAGGTTAAAACATCCCTGCATTCATTCATTCTGCATTTGTTCAATAAATATTTAATTGAATTCTTCAACTGTTTCATCTGAGGCAATTTCTGGACATTTCACTATCCTGGTCTTTCTGTGGCCACGTTCTGCTTTGTGACTGTCTCTTGAAATATGACTTTCTTAATTAGAAACGACCGATATAGCGATAGTTACGTGACTTGTGTCCTCATTTTACATACATTTTACTGGCTGTTGCAGTTTCTGTTAACATTTATGGAAATACCTTTTAAGTTAATTTACTTGACCTTGAGCGGTAGGTCACGTTGTTAAAACTCGTCGTTTTACAGTTTAGGAGATGGAAATTCAAGCAGTCGGGGTCAGTGGCCGGAGAGCCGCGATGCCAGTCCCTTCAGCTCCGGGTTACTACCTGCGAACCGCGTCAGCCTCACAGCTCCCAGCAGCTTCCGTTCAGAGAAGCCAGTCGGTAACCAGGAGCTGAGTGTGCGCCTGTGGCCGCAAAGGGTGAGGACCCCACACACTGCAGCAGCGACACCCGCAGCGCGGGGTCACGGGCTCCATCGCGCTGAGAGGGCGGCCGGACTCACGGCACACGTGCGTGTTCACTCTCAAAAAGAAACGGCGGAAGGGTAAGCTGAAAACTAATAAAAACGGTTTCCTAAAGGGTAAGGGAACAGCAGTGGAGTAAGTAGACAGAAAAAATAATTTCACGTGACCCAAACGCAGCATTTTGACTCCATTTGTCCGGGATGTATACTGAGGACAGAAAATCTTGAGACAGCTGAATGTGATTTCATAGTGAATAAACACTCCCTTTTTAATTTCAAAAGAACCCATCCTGTTATCACTGTTATTAAAAGTATGTAATAACAGTTCAGACATCGTGTAACGTTGTTAGAAGCCAGTAATCTTAGCTTTGATGTGCAACCTTATGATTGAGTTTCTTTTCCAAGTGGCAGCTGTCCCCGAGCGCCGTCCACCTGGGAAGACCCAGAGTCGCCGGCGCCCTGGCCGCGGTCTCTGCACTTCTTTTTTAACTAACTGGAACAAGAACTTGTCTGTGAAAGAGCTAATGCTAGGCCTGGACAGTCATCGTGTAGGTCGACATCTGGTACGAGATGTCCCAGGTTCATGAGCGTGTCAAAGACAAGTAGGTCCCTTTCAAAAGGTGATGGATGCCGGCCTTAGGGGCACCCACTGGCCAACCGTGGGACAGATTGAGGATGGGAAATACATTATGTGTTTGTTTTTCATCCCAAATTCGTAATTACGTACTAAAACTTCCTCCTATACACGAAAGGCAGAATAAGCAGCCGGCTCCCCCTCCCCCTTGTTTGTCATTCGGGATCATGAATCGATGCTCTGGCGTCCTCCCGAGTAACAAAATTAAGCTTCCAGGGTGATCACACAGCCAGGGTTGGATAATTCTACATGGCAGAATCCCACCTAATAAATGTAGATAGAAAACCAGTACTTTGCAGCCTCTAAATCAGGAGCCTAGGAGCTGGGTACCAGTGGCTGCTGGGGTTCCGGGGCGGGGGCTGAGACTGAGCTGTCTTTGCCCTGGCTGTGTGCAGGTGCAGCCCCGCGGCCCCTTGCTTCGGGTCCATAGAGTGCCCTCCTTCAGGGCTTCCCCTGCCCCCGCCACACGGGCGCCTGCACAGACCTGCCCAGGAGTGAGCTCGGCCGGGGTGTGACAAGGTGAATGAACGCGCCCTTTCTCGATTGGGCACACAGTTCCAGGGTGTGACCTGTCCCTGGACCAAAAGCAGAGCCAGCCATTTTCCAGCTGCCGGGGGACGCGCCAAAACCTCAGGTGACTTAACATCGTTCTAAGCTCTAAGCGCACACCGCGCCCAGCCGTAAGGAGAGCGACCGAGGCCAGCCGGCGACACGCCGTGTGTCGAGAGCCGCACAGCGATGAAAAGCCAGCCTGCAGGTGTCCCGCATCAGTCAACTAACGGTGAAAAACTGGGTCAGGTCGTTCACGAGGCTGGCGTGAGTGATGTCCAAGGTGAATGGCTCAGCCCCACCGGAGCCTCAGGCCCGCCGGCTGCCTCCCCCTACATCTTGGGTCCCCAGCAGATGGCTGCCGCACTCGGCTCCAGCCTGTTTCCCCACGAGCACAGGGCCTGTGGGTGGAAATGGGGCGTGTGTCCCCAACTGCTTTAGTTTTGCCCGAGGCACGTGAATATTGCCCGATTTCAGAAGCTGAGCAGGCGTCCGTGCTCAGCATCGTCCTGCAGTATCAGGGGGAAGTGTTTGTTTTGATGCTGCTTCGATGCCCCCCCCACCCCCACCCATGATGGGGCTGCAGATCCCGGTCCGCAGCCTGGGGCGGGCAGCTTCTCTCCGCGTCCCCGCCCCTTGCAGCAGCAGAGGACTGACGAAGCAAACCAAACACACAGGGCGAGCGCTGGGTTCTGGAACCTTCTTGAGTTGGAAGGCCCAAAGCAAATGCTTCTGCCGGAGCCAGACGTCTGTCGGGGGCAGCCACTCTGCTCCCTTCCTGTTCCTGTCGCTTGGTTTTCCGAATGAACTTCGCTGCCGTCATTCACGTGGTTAGGATCATTCCTATCACACCGTCCTCTGAATTGCAAGTCACTGTCACTCTGGCTAAAGACACAGACTCTGCGGAGAAATAAGTCTTTGAAGCGGGGAGAGAGCCATAGGCAATGATCGATCGGGCGGGAGGTTTCAGAGAGCAGACGGCATCGCGGATTCTTAGTCTCAAACGTTCTGCGTGAGCGAAAACCTCAAGAACTTCTCATGCCTTCAACCCAATAATTTTTTCCTCATTTTTCCTAAAGAAATAATTTGGATGTGGCTAAAGATTGGGGGAACAAGAATGTTCATCACTATAGTACTTAGGAAATTAAAATGGCATTTACAAAGGGAGCAAATGTATTGGTAGCAACGGCTTAAATAAGAAGTTCGTTCTCACCCACTGCCATCTGTGGTGGGCCGGCCGGGGCCAAACGTGGCAGGTGCCTCTTTGGAGACGGGTCTTGGGGTGAGAGGTGACCAAGTGCTGAGACCGACAGCAGTCCTGAAGTTCAAGAAACCCGTGCACATGATCGGGGGTCACGCTGCAGGTTTGCTCCGGATGTGGGAACCCCATCGTTCAGTGGGTGGCTGCATCCCTGAGGAGTCGGGGACATTGGGTGTCTCAGCTCTCAAGCATGACCACGTCAGACCTGAACATGGCTGTTCAGCTTCCTTGTCCGAAACGACGCGGAAAGAGCTCAGCGTCCGCAGGTCCCTGAAACGCGGCTTCGCGCAGCCCCGGCCGGTCTTCACTCCAGCTCCCAAACCAGCTCTGGGACCACAGTCTTCCTGGTTTTAGGAAAACATGGCAAAGGGCCCTGCAGGTGCGATTACAGTTAAGGACTTCAGGATGAGGTGCTTACCCAGGTGGGTCCAGTCCCAGCTGCAGGGACCCAGACAGATGGCAGCGTGAGGAGGACCTCTGCGGGCTTGGAAGCTAGAAGCAGGGCCAGGAGCCCAGGACTGTGGGGAACTTCTAGAGCTGGGAAAGGCAAATATATGGATTCTCCCAGAGCCCCCAGAAAGTAAGACGACTCCCCATCTTGGCACGTTGACCAGAATGAGCACGGGGCTCGCCATGTCTGCACGCACGGGCTGTGACCCTTTCTCTTTCCCGAATAAATCCTTTTTGGTGACAAAGCACAAAGGCACAAGAAGACTCACTGAAAGAAAAAAGCATGGCACGAAAAATGACCCAAAACTTCCTTCTCGCTGTCAGCTTCCTCCCCCTACACACTCCCTTCCCGCGGGCGCTTGCTGGCTGTCCCCGTAAGGCACGGGCACCTCCCTGGATGACAGCCCTCCGCACGGGCAGGGTGCAGCTGTGGGTTCGCACCGGCCAGGGGCTGCTGGAGCCCAGCCCACCGGCTTCCCTCCCAGGCCCACCTGAGACCCTGCCCCCAGCTTCATTTTTAGGGCGCATAACAGGTTACTGTGTGGACCTGGGCTTTGTCTGGAATCCAGGCATGGGCTACAGGGGCTGAGAAGGTCAGGAGTTGTGTGTGACGATGGGGCCAGGGCTGTGACTTTCCTCTAAGTCTTAACGGGACACAGGCCAGTCCTTGAGCAGAGTCATTCGCAGCCTGGGCCCCAACCCCATCCTCTCCGCTGAGGGAGCCCCGGAGCTGGTCCAGGGCCCCCTGGGTTCCCTGTGCCCCACCCACTCTGAACCAGGCCTGCATCAGCCCAGCGCGACACCTGAGCCCAGGTCCCGCGAGGCTCCCGCCTCATCACCAGCCCCCAGGGCCACCCCGCGAGGCTCCCCTTTTCTTTCCCCCTTCCACCCATGCCCCTTCTCTGTACCCCACGCCCCGTGGAACCCCTTTCACTCGGTTTGAAACTCGGTTTCTGTTGCAACCTCGCTGCCCCCGTCACCTCCTATTCCTTCTGAACTGAAACAGAATATTTAAAACTCAAAGACACGTATCCTGAAGCAGCATCTCCCCCGACAGGGGAGCAGAGGCTCCACCCAGAGGCCCCTTGCCCCCTGGCGGCACGTTGTCCCCGGCCAGCGACGGCAGCTCTGCGTCCTGTGCCACGGGTGCTGGATGACAAGCCGGCGTCCCATCTGAAGGCCTGACCCCACCAGCCTCCGGCCGGCACTCGGAGCCCAGATGCGTTCTGAGCGGCTCCAGGTTTCCCGCGGTGTCGACGGGAAGGTCAGGCTATGTGCGGAGTGGCGTCCGAGCTCCTCTCAGAAGCCTGTCGGGGGGAGGAGGGGCGCCCCCCGGAAGCCGGCACCCTGCAGGGGGGACCAGCCTTCCCGCTGCCACCAGTGCCAGTCACCCAGCAGACCCACTGGGAAGGCCTCAAGACGCAGGGCAGCGGGTCTGGGCGGAAGGACATTTCACAACAGTGGCACCGGGCCTCGGTGAGCCACTGGCCTGAGCCCCTCTGAGAAGCAGCTGGGACAAACCACGGAACTGCAGACACATCCGGCCGCGAAAGCCTTCTGCTCTCCCTTTGCCTGAAAACGTGTCCGCAGATGGCGAGGACCAGCACAGACCACACCCGTGTCCCCGATCGTGTTGCAGCCCGAGACAGAGTCCCCACAGAGGCCTCAGGGCCACGTCTTGGCTCACTTGTGATTCCTGTTTCCCGGGGTTCCTGTGACCCCCACGTCGGCCCATGTCAGAACACTTC